ATATACATATATTTGTCTAAATAAAATTAGATGTTTGTCATTTAATTTGTTTTTAAACAACATTAGAATAATTTAAGTTAATTAAAATCGAAATGATCGATGAGATTAAAAATTACATATAAATCTATTATTAAATGTTAAAATAATTAATACCACTGATTTAAACAAATTATTTTATAAATAAAATTGTTTAACAAATATATCAAATTAAGTTTATTTTTTCAATAGAAAAATCCTAAAAATTATGCTAATAAAATCAGATATTTAAAACAGAAGACTCGAAATATTAGAAAGATAAAAAACCATTTGCCTAATAAGAAAATATTTTATTTTTTATTTAATCGAAGCAAATATATTTATAAGTGACAATATGTTTTTTTTTAAATCTATTTTTTAAATCTATTAAATTTGTTCAAAATTTAATAAAGAAAATTAATCTATGTTGCAAAATGTCAAGATGAAATATAAAACTATAGATGCAAATGTTTTTTTTTGCATCGGTTTCTTTCTCTTTTAATTTTTTTCAATGATTATATCCAACTACGGAATATTCTACAATTTGCAAAATGTGTGTAATTCTCTCCGCACTAAGTACTGGATTAAAAATGTATGCGATCTGGATTAAAAATGCGATGCGAAGTAGTTCACTTAGATGTGATTAATAATATTAACAATTACATAGGCGTGCATAATTGGGGCAGCTCTTGGTCGATCGTAGTAGTGAATGTAAAAGTGTTTTTGGTCACGATTAACATTCACATCTTCGCCGGCCGCGAAAGTTTATTGATATGTTTGTAGGCTGCATGCCAAGTCGGACGAAATTTCACCTTCTCGCGCATTTTATCGAAACGGAAGTGACGAACAAATACTTTCACGAGCTCTTCCGAAACGCGCGGGTCCTACATGAGGAAGTTGTGTGTCAAAACGATCGACGATTCTTTTTCCAAGAATATGACACTCATTTCGAGGCTCGCGACGATATTTGGTAGTACAATCGCGGTAATTATTGCAAATGGGACTCGAGTCGTAACGGGAAGTTAGCGCATTATTCAAAGCAGCTTTCGATGTTATTGGCGTTAGTCACGCGATGCAGGATACGTGTTATCGTGTCCGCACACATTGCAAATCAAAGATATAACTTCTAATTACTAGAACCGCGCCTGACAATGAAAGCTCTAAACTTTTTTTTATCGTCGAAACATTGTCACGATAATAGAATATATCTCCTTTAATTAGTTAATAAATTAATCTAACAACGCTAACGTATTTTTATCTTTCGTGTCATTAAAGCCGAATTAAATCATGGAAACGAATTAATTACGAAATAAAGAAATAAAAGTTCATGTACCGCATAATTAAAGATGCAGTGAATTCGGTTGTTCGATCGTTAAGCTAGAATTACGTCGCTTCTATTTCCGGTTCAAGTTCTCTCTTTCCGTTACACTTCCGTGGAAGTTAGTCATTTTTTTCATCTCTCGCTATGGTAAAAATGTTCTTTTCGTACAAGGAAAAATTTGTTGCGTGTCACAGATATATTGACGTGTACATTTCTGACAAGCGGTGGTTAAGGAAACACGCGTGTCTCGGAAATACCCAATTTGTCCTACAAGAAGCGAGTGCCAGTTCACATGCCATTGCATCATCTCCTATGTATATTCGCCGATGTGATGAATTCCAATCGCGCGCCTAAACCTTCATCGATCCATCCCCCATTGCCGCAATCATTTCTCGAATCGCTCGCTCTTCAGCCGCTTTCGCACAATCATTCCACTGATTATAGCGTTTTATTATGCTTGTATCAATTGAATGATGTCACTGACAGATTTAATCGGTCGACATTAATTCCGCGCGATAGTGTTACGAGACGCTTGCATCGTGCAAGTGCGCGGCAAGAACGTCGTGCAGTGCGCTCTAGTTCGTCATCGGTTCGACCTACGTGGAGTCGCATTGTTTTGTGCAGAGTGGTGAGTGGTGAAAAGGATATCGTAATTTTTTGAGGAAATATTATTCGTAGAACTATTCAGTTGTCTTATACTCTCTTTTTCGTAATATTATATCAAGAAAAGAACGCTTTGCTGGCAAATCTGAAAATTTGATCAGATTTAAAAATAATTTTGTTGGGTTTTCAAATTTCTAGAAGATCAAAAATTTTTGCAATATTATTTTCACGTTTATACGGCCTATATAATTTTAATGGTCCAAAATTATTTTCAGATCGTTGAAACATTGTCACGATAATAGAATATATCTTCTTTAATTAGTATAAATTAGTCTAACAACGCTAACGTATTTTTATCTTTCGTGTCTGTATCTGGTCAATTTTTTTGTTAGCAAAACGATTCTCTCCGTATATATAAATATTATTATATAAAATGTTTATATAATATTATTATATAAAAATTTTCTTTTTGATAAATTTTCTTTTTGTCTCTGATAAGTGACCGTGAAGTGTTTGTGAACGACTTCGATAAAAGCGTCAACCCATTTATCATAGATAAGGATTTAAAAAAGATTCTCAATCTGCAATTTTTACGTTTCATCGAGAAAATTTGAATTTTTGATCTTTGGCATAAATCTCAGAAAAGGCTTTTAATGCTTGAATCAGAATCACTGAAAATTGCGGCATTTACTTTTCGTGACTCACCCCGCCGCGTATCGATCCATCGCGATTGGTTAAACGTTCCTGATAAAACGTCGCCGCGTGTGGCGGTGCTCTTTAGGGATTCCAAGCTCGTCGAGGCTCGTCCACTACGTGTCGTTCCTCTGTCGCGGAGTTTCGCCCGCAACGTTCGGCCAGTCATTGTATCGACCAGTTGCCGCCAGACAGTCGCTTGGAATCATTCGCAGACATATCTTCGCGCGATACCACGGTCAAGGTGGAGCTTCCAACGGATCTAAGATGACGACCACCAACCAGGCTGGTTGTCTACCAACCTGGAGGATTTTCACGGTTCTTCTAGTAGTTTGCAAGATCATTATAGCCGCGAATACGCAGCCCTTTGTCGTGAGCAACACGGTGGACGACCAGCACGGTAAAGATTTCTTTGTTGGGCCCTGTTTGGTAAACACCAATCAGACCTGCCCCGATGAAGAAGTTACGTTTTTCCTCTACACCAAACACAATCCAAACGAGGGACAGCAGTTGTTGGTGAACGACACCAGCTCGAATCTTGCCGATACTAACTTCGTGGCGGCGATGCCCACGAAGATCATCGTGCACGGTTACAATTCGGACATGCAGCTAAGTTACTTGGTGAATATTCGGGACGAGTACTTGAAGAAGGGCAGTTACAATCTCATAGCGGTCGACTACCATCGTCTGGCGGTGGCACCGTGTTATCCCATAGCCGTCCACAATGTGCCTCACGTGGGCGATTGTCTGGCACAGCTGGTCGACCGTCTGAGGGACTACGGTGCCAAGGATATCCACGTGATTGGCTTCAGTCTGGGCGCCCATGTACCGGCTTTCGCGGCCAATGTGCTACAACCGTACAAGCTAACGAGAATCACCGGTCTCGATCCAGCAATGCCGCTCTTCATCACCGTCAACAGGAAAGAGAAGCTCGACTCTAGCGACGCACAATTCGTCGATGTGTTGCATACGAATGCCTTCATTCAGGGCAAGATCGAACCGAGCGGTCATATTGACTTTTATATGAATGGAGGAGTCAACCAGCCCGGATGTTGGGAACATGGAAATCCCTTTGGATGCAACCATCACAGGGCGGCGGAGTACTTCGCCGAGTCGATCAACTCGAAAGTCGGTTTTTGGGGCTATCCTTGTTTCAACTTTGTAACTTATCTTTTAGGTCTCTGCCCACCCAGATTTCCTGCGGTGAAGATGGGTGAAGATGTTAATAGAAAGTATCGGGGTTTTTATCTGGTAAAGACGAAGGCGAATAGTCCGTACGCGGAAGGTCCGTTCACAGTGGAGGATCCTTATCAGCAGAATCTTTACAAGTCGCGTAAAATGTTATAAAGAAATATACGTTTTAATTAATGAAACGTAAGAAGAGCATATCTCTACGAAAATGTAATAAACTCCTTGTATTAAAGCCATACAAGAAAAGTGAAAACACTTTGATAGACTGCCAAGTATTTTGTCAGGGAAATGTAAGTCGTTCATCATAAACTGTAGTGAATTTTAAATAAAATTTGTGTAGAAATATTATACAATTTAGTATAAGAGAAAAGTGTAAATTAATAGGCGCAACGTATATGCTTTAAACTTCAAAAGAGTATTATGTAATGCGCAAGTACTTTCTTAAAAATAATGTGATATAATTTATTATAAATAGACTTGATATAATCCTACTTAGAAATTTATTTAATTATATAGGAACAAATAGAAATAATTATATTAGAGATTGCAATAAATTGTTATCAACATAGGTAAATATAAAACGCGAATAAAATTATCTATCTTATCTAAACTCTCTTATCTAAAATCTATACTTCGACATATCTTAGATGTGGCAGAAAAAAAAATGTGATACATAAAAATATCAAGTTATGAATTTGATAGAACTTTAATTAGATTGATTATATTATTGAAAGGTTAATAACATTTAGAGTCTGATAAGACATTTCAGCTTCATATTATGTGAATTGTTTATTCAACACAAAGTCAAGATTAGACAATTGTCAGAACCTATTAATCATATTTTAAAATATATTGCGAAATGATCGCAATATAGCCGTTTTCTTATTGATTTATCGTATACAACATTCGAATAAAAAGTATTTAACCGTACATATCCATATATCTGTCAATCTATCTTCTATCTGTCTATCTATCAATTTATCTGCCTGTTTAAATTGTTTCTTTTCTGACGTATTTTCGTGATGACAATATTGTCAAGCTTCAATATTGCTAAATCTATGGACTGCATATCTGAAATCAGACTTTCCTAACCAATATCATCTTTCATTCTTTATTATTTCATACGTATTCTATAATAGTGAAGTCAATTTCTATATCGAAATATAGATATCTAATATAATTGAGATATTATTAAATATATAGGATTTGAAACGAAGCGTGGATCAATCCAGCAGTAATGCAATATATCGCGAAAAATTTTTTGTGCAAACCGTTTGTGATTATCTTTTATTTATCTTTGTCGTTGAGAATATACCGAGACGCTCAAGAAAATAGTAGTTCTTGCTATGCCGGAAGCCTCACGAATCCTGTTATAGGTTCTCGAGAATTGACCTCGAGAGAATAAGACTTATTACCAGTATATATCACGAGAAACACTTCTCAAAGACATTGTACACACAAATGGGTTTTCGACTACTTTTATCTTAAAAATATTTTTGTTACGAAAAATTATTTATTAAGTTTTGTAATATATTGTTATATTATTTTTGGCTAATATTTGTATTATATATTTACAATAGAATATAATTAGTATTTACAAGAATCATAATAATGCCATAATTGATATTTTATATCGATGAATATTTTAATAAAGATTAATTCATAAGATAAAAGAAATTTTGGAAACTATAACTTCATTAATCTAATTTCACTCTACTCAAATGTCTGAAAATAAATAACTTGACTTTGAGATATATCATTATTAATAAATATCAAGTCAGATATTCAAATATTTAATTATATATTCCCTTTAATATTCACTCTACAAATTTAACATTTCATATTTTGTTTGAATGAGACAAATGCTTTTTGTGAGTGTAAATTTATTTTAAGATAGCTCATTTAAACATAGATATTTATAAAATTATATATTATAAGGAAGTATTGTTGTGTAATAGTAAGCACTAAATATATTACATTCAATACATTGTATTTAAAAATAGAAAATGAATAAAATGTTATAAATTTAATTTAATGCATTATTTTAATATTCATTATTCTT